ATGCTAGCTAGACAGCAGGAGTTTCTGGAACCCAATACCATTAATTTGAACGCATTAACTGATGGGCCTTCTACTTTGTCTTTTGACTATAAGAGATGCTTCATAAAAGTAGATATCCAGCTTTACTAGTTATCAGGGCAAAGTTCATATCCTACATGATGGTTAAAATTGAAATCCAAAACCACTCTAAGTTACTGGTGAAGAAGAGAAACAATAAAAGGACTCGGTTACTGAAAGTGTTTAGTGGACATATGCATGGGCATACCCCTTTGGGAAGCTGTATGACGGTGATTACTAAGTATTTACACACACACACTACAAATATCCACACACATTTTTGTCTTAAAAATGTACATAAAAATCATTTTTAAGAAGACTGTGTACAGTTTTTATATTTTTTTCTGCAGTATAATTTTCCTTTTTCTTATAAAAAATGGCTCTCTTCTAAATAAAACAAAAATATCTTATTCTAACCCTGAGTATTTTCACTATTGTTTCCCACAAAAAGAAATAAACAAACCTGATTCTCTTGAGAGTGGTACCATTCACTAAACTTATTGTCACTGTCCATAACTTAGGACCAGAAAATTAGTTTTTGAAGGAAGGAGTCTATAAACAGGCATTTGCCTGTATAGTATTATTACATTTAGGGGCACTAATTTTAAAATGACATTTTAAAATGACATAAAAGGTGTCCTTTAGCTAATGTCTGTTTTCTTACATGATTACTTCTGATTTTTTACGTTCCAAATAAATGATTTCCTTCCATGATGAAGGAGTCACTAGACAAAATAAAATCCAAGTTTTTTTAGGAAATTAATTATCCAACCAGAATAATAAAATTCAGGCTCTCGTCTCAGATTGTCATGGAAAAGGGTGGAGAGAACTTAGACCTAATGGTCTGCAGGCACATTTGTGTTTAGGGAACAAAATTTAAGTTCTGCCTGAACAGAAAATAACCAAAAGAGATTTGTCATCTTGGAGACAGGGAGTCCTCTAATGGGAAAAGTACTTTAGAACAAGGGTAATTTCCATCCTTTAAGTACATGAAAAAGAAGTAGATAATGGTAGTGAATGAAGCTCTTGGGTAATTCAGATGTATCAGTGTTCTCAATTTAATGGGTGGCAAATTATTACAATTATTTAATTTCAGCTTGACTTAGGCAACATTTCTCCTAGAGTAAATTTAGTACATTTGTATTGGTGTCATTACTCAATAAATAATAGTGAAACATGAAAAGTCAATTAAGTGTTTCACTAAGGAAACTTTTGCCCCTAAACAAGAAGATTTTAATGATTTTAGACCAAGTTATTTTCTAGCTTTAAAAGAATTTTGAAAAAAAGACTATGTCCCAATCTACGTATTCTCAGGTAAGGATTGAGAAGACACTGGAATCACCAAGTTTTTTTGAGCATATACAATGGCTTATGCCTATCATTTTTCACAGAAGTTTTGAATATTCAATGTTTTTATTTACTGATTTAGTAGATACAATTAATTGCATTAAAAATGTAAGGGTATTTTATTTGATGTTACATTAAAAAATAGGGTTTAATAAACACATATAAAACTTTGCATTCTGAAATGTTTCACGTGTTGCAAAATGTCCCTCAAAAGTCGCTAATACAGAGCATTTATTCCAAGACCGCCTAGGTGCACACCCTCGGGAGTGCTATTTTATTTATTTTCTAAGTGATTCTGGGGGTCGTGTGTTATGGCAGACTTTTGCAAACCAATGTACAAAGTTGAAGTGTCCAGATAAAAACAAATGAACAAACTATGTTTCAATCTGGCAACCTACCTTATTGCTTCCCTCTACATTCCATCTCTGGTGAAATCTTGCTTTGGTATGGAGTTGGAACTTCAAGGACCTCTTCATTGTCTTAGAATCTAAGACTGTATATTCCTATTTTTATGACTGTAATAAAACACACTAAACATTTCCTGATAGAAGCCAAGACAATTTTTTTTCCAAAGATGGAAATATTTTCTCCTATTAAACTATAGTTATAAATCTATTGAGAGCACAAGTTTTATACTCAAACATGATGCTGATGGATTCCAGAAGTTTCCTGACTACTTCTGAACCTCATAATTTCTTTCTGTATAGTGTAGTTGTTAGGGAAATACACAGTAATGTTTCATATATATGATAGTATATAAAGAGATAAATTACATAATATGTAAGAGCACATCGCTTTGCATAAAATATTCACAATAATCTATATTTAAATTCACAGGTTTTGCCTTCACAAGTCCATTGCTGAGTGCATAGATGCTTAAAAAACCCATTCATAGAATGGTGAGCAGAGAAATTACTATGGTCAGAAAAATCTGAATGCAGAATTTACCTCTTTGTCCCAGCAAGAGTCCAATGAAGTCAAAGTCAGAGACCAAGATGGTAAACTAACTTTGAGAGAAGATATAACATTTTATTGGTAAACGTAGGGAAGATTTTGAAGGACAGACAAAATTCACACTCCAGGTCTCCCAATTAGCTAAGAACTTCAATGCATAATATTACACACATATTATTTTGGAAAAGAATAGAAGTTGGCTTCTTTCTTGAAAGTATCATCAAACTTGTTTTTTTTTTTTTAAATACAGTATGTATTATCTATATTAGTAGAAACAGACCTCAAAGGTTGACTATTTCTAATCTTTGTTGAATATCCACCATAATAGCCTGAACATATTTAACAACACATCTTTACAAGTCTATTTTTTACTTAAATCTCTACTAGGGATTATGAGAATGTAGTGACCTCATATATGATTATATAAACACAAGAGAGCATTCTAGGTACAGTCAAGTTTGTGCATTCATAAAACAATAGACTTGAGTGTGGTTGGTATGAAATTTGGGAGAGGCATCAGACACTGATTACTGGAAAATAGCATGTGAGATGAGCACATTTTTAAACCTGGTATAAGGAGACTATTTAAAAAAAAATGGAAGGAGGAGGATGACCAATGAAAGGGACATGAACATCATTAAGAATAGGAGAGGAGATGTGGGTTAGGAAATATAGTACAATGAAGAGGGCATTATTTCTGTATGTATACATGTGACCACATGACCAATATGATTCTGCAACATGTACACTCAGAAAAATGAGAAATTATATCTCATCTATATATGATATATCAAAGTGTATGTATTCTACTGTCAGGTATAACTAATTAAAACAAATTTAAAAATTTTAAAAACTGTCTGTCTTCAGTAGAAATGCATGTGATCCTGATTGTCATGGAGTATGTTGCTAAATAAATTCTGACATAGATCAATTTGTGAGAAGGGTAAAGAATTACATTAAAATTTCAGCCTGTGCTGAATAAATCCCAGGTGAAAATACTGAGCCAGGTATCTAATTAATCATGCTTGAATAATACAAAGGAGTGAGGACAGATGCTTAAGAGATATAAGTCCCAACAGTCACTAGTTTAAAATACAATGTGATCTACTGAGCATTCACGTACCAGAGATAAGGACAGAAAGACTTTCTTATTCAGGTAAGTTTCTGAATGTCTAATTGAAAAAGAAAGGAAACAGAAATTCCTGCCTGGTTTGGAAAAATCAGAAATCAAGTATTGAGGAATGTTTCAATGAAAGATTTTATTCCTTATTACTCAGTCAAATATTGCCAATGATATTTTCATGTTAGAGCTCTGTAAATGCCACTGCATTCATTTGTCATTTGTGTAAGGATAGTAGATGTGTTACTTGTTTATTTGTTTTCATCAAAATTCATTAGTAACCCATTCCTGTTAAAATCATTCTGCAAGCGATATGGTGCAGGTAAATTTAAAGTCTGAACTAGCTTAACCAAATAATAATAGAGGTAGCACATTATAAATACCAATATATGTAAATTGAAGCCCTAGTGGATCACATGTCATGTTATTGATGTCTAGAAGAGCTAATATATGAGTGCCCAGATTCCAGTTTTCACATATAAGCAGATAGACAGACACCCCACCATGTGCATATATAAGCACATACTAAAAACAAGAAACAGAAGCCTGACTCTAAAATATTTACTGTTTTTCTATTTTCACTTTAAAGAAAAACTCAATTTGGGGCTGGGGATGTGGCTCAAGAGGTAGGCGCTCACCTGGCATGTGTGCAGCCCTGGTTGGATCCTCAGCACCACATACAAACAAAGATGTTGTGTCCGCCTAAAACTAAAAAATAAATATTAAAAAAACTCTCTCTCTCTCTCTCTCTCTCTCTCTCTCTCTCTCTCTCTCTCTCTCTCAAAAAAAAAAAGGTCTATTGACAACTAAAAAAATTTAAAAAAAAAGAAAAACTCAATTAACAGCCAAATTTAAGACAAACATTTGTTGTGTTGTGTTGCTCCTACTTCTTTTTATCACTACTTTTTGGCTTTTCAAGGGTCTTTTCCTTTGGAACCAGGTCAGTTATACAAAGTATTTATTCGATATTGGTAAATCAGTGATGATGTGTGATAGACTAGTTCCATAAAATGTGCTTTATTTTACAAAAAACCCTAAAACCACCAAAAAAAGTCATCATAATGATTTTATTAACTTTATGGTATATCACTATTAGTAATTAAATCAATCCTGCTTCTTGAACAATATAATAAATGTCATACCTTTGTGGAAGTTATTGGATATTCAGTCTTTTGTGGCTTCTGTCTCTAAATTTGGTATTTCCTTTATATCATTTTATAACTAAAACCATGTTAGTTTATTACCATCCACTGAATGAATGGTAGACGCTCAGAGAGGAACATATCTCAGGATTTATATAAATATTAACAACAAAAGCTTATCAACTTCCAATTCTAAAAAAATAATTTGTTTTCATATGATAATAACTTTAAATGTCTGGGATATTTTCTGATTGTACAGAAAATAACTTACAGAAAGAAATTTCATTTTGTCTTATAGATGTTATTTTTTTGGCTATTCAGAAAACATTGGATCTTAACCTGATGAATTTTCTAATAGTGTAGGAGAAGAATGAAGAAGAATGGATCCTGGAAACTGCTCCTCATTAACTGAATTTTTTCTCTTGGGAATCACTGATAACCCCGAAATGAAAGTTGTTCTGTTCACTGCATTTCTAGTTGTTTACCTCATTAGCCTCCTCACAAATCTTGGAATGATCATTTTAATCAGAACAGACTCCCAGCTTCACACTCCAATGTACTTCTTCCTGAGCCACCTTTCATTCTCTGATCTCTGCTATTCTACAGCAGTTGGACCCAAGATGCTGGTGGACATATTTGCCAAGAACAAATCAATTCCCTTCCTTGGTTGTGCTCTGCAATTCTTCATTGTCTGTATCTTCATAGATACTGAGTGCATGCTGCTGGCAGTGATGGCCTTTGATAGGTACAAGGCCATCAGCAGGCCCTTGAGCTATGCAATAGACATGTCCAGCAAGGTGTGCTCCCAACTGCTGGTCGGGGTTTACCTGGTGGGCCTGACAGATGCTTTGATACATACGTCTTTGACATTCCACTTGTGTTTCTGTGGGTCTAATGAGATTAATCATTTCTTCTGTGATATTCCTCCTGTCCTATCCATATCCTGCTCAGACACACAGGTCAATGTGTTAGTGATCTTCACCATTTTTGGTTTCATTGAACTGAGTACCATTTGTGGAGTCCTGGTCTCTTATGGCTACATCATCTCATCAGTCTTAAAGATCCGCTCTGCTAAGGGGAGGCTCAAAGCTTTCTCCACCTGTGCCTCCCATCTAACTGCTGTTTCGATTTTCCAAGGCACCATGCTTTTCATGTATTTCCGGCCAAGTTCTTCCTACTCTCTAGATGAAGACAAAATCACTTCACTGTTTTATACCCTTTTTATTCCTATGTTGAACCCTCTGATTTATAGCCTACGTAACAAGGATGTGAAAGAGGCCCTACAAAAACTGAAAAATAAAATTTTGTTTTAGTATATGTTATTGATATACATTGACACACAAATATATATATTCATGAAATCTTCTGTACTTCATGGTGGGATGCCAAAATATGGTATTCTTTATTTCTTAAAAAAAAAAAAAAAAACTTTCTGGTCTCTTTGTTAGTGTGCCAGAGGTGATTTTATTTTTATTTTTTTTTGCAGGGGGGGGGGTATGGGCTTTTTTGGTGTATATTTTATGCACAATTTTTATTTTTCAACTAGTTATTGTGCCTTTAGTAAGTAAAACTAATTATTTATGTTAATAAATCCTATAATGTATTGGAAATTCACAACATTGATTGATTAGGCATGTATAATTTACAACAAACTTTGTAACACCATAATGCCAAAAAGTAAAGGATCCTAAGAAGAAGCAAAATGTCAAAAATCTATACTGCAAAGAAGAAAATACTCTTGGAAATGAGGACTTTTAGTTTTAGAAAAGAACAATCAATAGACATACACTGGTGGGGTGATGGGGAGAAGAAAAGATTCTAGATGGGGATGAGAATTAGAGATCCTAGGCAGATAGGAGCACTGGCTTTTACAGATAAGGAAGTCCACACTGAGGAATAAAAAGAAACATGTTTTCATTTGTATTCCCCTAATGATGTGTGGTGCTGAACAGGTTGTCATTACTTATTGGCAATTTTTATGTCTTTTTTATTTTTTTTTGAGCAGTATCTATTTGGATCATTTGTATATTTTTACACTATCTTTGTTTTGCTTTTCTTTCTCCTTCTACTAATTTCTTGGATTTCCATTGTAACCATGATTTCTTATGTTATACTAAGGTTAATATAGTCAAGTAAATGTACTGTATACTTAAAAATAAATAGAAAAAGTGGGTTTTAGTGCTAAGCCTCAAAGAAAATATATGTCAAATATACTCATGGCTCTGATTTTGTCATTACATTGTAAGCATATGACTCAG